GACTTTGTTCCAACAGATTTTAGAGATTTAATAGCAGGCTGCCTGGCTGTCAGAATAAATAATAATAAAATCACATATACACACATCAAAATTGTCTATGAAAAAAAATTTGAAAAATATTTCAATTTTTTTTCGTGATTAGCATGGAAGCCATCCTCTGCACTCGTGCCACCTTGGCTTTGGAAGAAATCTTGCTAAGCGCGGGCCAAACTGTGGCGACTACTTGTAAAACAAAAGTAATTAAGTATTACAAAATACTCAAACTTCTACTAATTCTCTAAAAGCATAATCTAATACAAATTCAATTGAGGGCTTGCTTTCTTTCGCTAATTTAAGAAAATATTCTTCTTCTTTTTAGTTTCAAATTACAATATAAGTTATGTAATTCACTTTTTGTTTTGTAGCTAATATAAATACACCTATATTACATATGATTTTACATATAAACCTCTATACTCTGTGACCGACTAAGTTATTAAATCACTTTTAAGTACATAAGAAAGCACAAGGCTGTTCTATTTAAGTTACAAACAGCTGCCCTGCACCAAAGCTACAGCTGCTAATAAAATATGAAAAACTTCCGTGAAACATATGAGCCGACGCGACAGTGTTGTACATACAAATATGTACCTGTATGTATTTATAAATTTTCCTTAAACCAGCAAAGTATGTAATTGCTTAGCAACACGTTTCCTGTATACATACATACATACATACATACATATGTATGTATGTGTAAGTATACCTCAGGAAATTATTCCGAAAATGCAAATGGAAAGCCAAAATCAGCAATTGACAACAGCCAGCTGCACGAGCCAGGCCGGAAAATTTCCATACATACATACATACATTTGCTTGGACATATGTATGTATAAGAAGTCTGGGAAAAAGTTGCGTGAATTATATTTTCAAGGTACATTGGCGTAATATGCCTGTCTAGGCAGACGAATAATCGCCCGAATGCCGTCTCAGCGATATGCACGCATTCGTTAGTTAATTTGATGGTCGAACAGCAGTGCGTATACGTAACATTTTGTAGAAGTTGGCAGTGCCCAGATATCGCCACCGACAAGCAGCCGGCTTTTTTATTTCCTTTTTCCTGATGGTAACCACATCGTTTCACATTTATGTACATACACTCGTATATACATACAAACATATGTATGTATGTATGTACGGTCCTTATGTAAACATATATGTATGTGTGTAATATGGCATGTATTCATTAATTGCGCGTGTATACACATTTCTGTCCAGCTGCCGCTTTATACTTTCTCCTATAAGCGCCTAACAGCATTGCGACATTTGGCAGACTTCATGCGTCTATGTTGGTGGGGCGTTTGCTACCGAACTGTGATATCAGCTGCAAGTTCGGCACGACGCTGTTGATAGGTGCCATCCATACAGAGAACAAGTATGAATGTATGTGCTGCACTAACACATGCGGCAAAGGAAACGCTCAAATGGCCTTGGCTGTCCCGACAGACGAGTCACATAAATTTTGTGGATACAGGCAATCATTGCTATGGGTATAAGGAAAAATATTCATTGGCACCAAAAAGCCGAAATTGGCTACATACATATGTACATGCGTATTTTCCGGCCCCATGTATGAAACATCGGCTTCGTCGGCACTGACGACAGCTTGTGCCGATGCCTGTGCTCGCTTGTTGGCACCTCTTGGTTCTGCTGTTAGTAGGCAGCTGATCGGTAGCCTTGAATTGCAACAACAAACAAAACTTGCCGCCGGTTGCGCGGGAGCAGTTGGAAGGGATGGAGTTTCCGTAAACTTTTTTCTCATATCTCGTCGTGCGCGACATCGTCATCGTTATCGTCGTGGGTGCTATCGACTGATTTTAGGCTGCCGAAAAGCGTGTTGCACGCATTCGCGCATGTTCGTACATATGTATGTGTATACAAACGCAATGTATGTATGTATATTAAAAGCACGCATGAATCTAGGATATAGTCGTGAGATAGCTGTGGTAACTACATTTACATGAATTATACAATCTCAACACGGGTTTTCTAAAGGAAAATCTACTATGACTAATTTATTGGAGTTTACAACTCATGTCTCAAACGGTTTTAGAGAAAATGCTCATACCGACGTAATTTACACCGATTTCAGTAAAGCTTTTGACAAAGTATGTCACTCGTTACTCATCCGTAAACTCGACCTAATCGGCTTTCAGCCCAGTCTTCTTCAATGGATCTCATCTTACCTCTCTGATAGAACACAAAGAGTTATTGTTAATAATTGTTCTTCCAACATCATTAAAGTTTCTTCAGGAGTTCCTCAGGGAAGCCACCTTGGTCCGATTCTGTTCCTGATATTCATTAATGATATTTCTTCTATAATAAAACATTCAAAAATTTTAATGTATGCCGATGATGTGAAAGTTTTTAAAACATTGTCCTCTATCGAAGAAAGGTCTTTGTTACAAGCGGATCTGAACAACGTGGTTAGTTGGTGTAATGCAAACTATATGCCACTAAACCTTCAAAAATGTAAAGTTATGTGTTTCTCTCTCTCTCTCTGGAGCAGGTATCCAATTTTGTCGATCTTGGTATCACAATGGATTCCAAACTCAATTTCAACCATCATATTAATGTTACAGTCAATAAAGCCAAAGGCGTTTTTGCATTTGTAAGGCGATGGTCAAAAGAGTTCAAAGATCCTTATGTTACAAAAGCTCTTTTTACCAGTTTAGTTAGATCTATACTAGAATACGGATCTATTGTTTGGAATCCCCGCTACCAAGTTCATTCAGAAAGGATTGAATCAATTCAAAAACAATTCTTGCTTTTTGCATTGCGTAATTTTAACTGGGATTCAGATTACAATCTCCCCCCTTACACAAGTCGTCTAAAGCTCATAAATTTGCCTACACTCGCAAGTCGTAGAGAAATGCTGGGTATAATATTTATCGTAAAATTAATGGCAGGCTTGATTAACAGCCCGGCCCTCCTGGCTGAGGTAAATTTTAATGTTCCTTCTCGAGTGTCAAGACACTTTCGACCTCTATTTTTAAAGCCATGCAAAACTAATTTTGAACTAAACGAATCATTCCGTGGTTTATGTCAAGATTTTAACTGTCATTCCAGCACGTTTGACGTAT